CACTTTTTTCTTAAATGTGTTATTTTCTCAGCATGCACAAAAAGTCGCACCTTGGTGCAGTGACAATATTTAACCTTGAACTCTTCTGAAAATAATGCATATAAAAATCACTCATCAAATTGCATCTCCTTAAGAGACTTTCTACTCAAAGTTCTAAAAGTTTTGGGGCTATATAAAGCAATTGATACAGTTACTTCTTCAGTGAAAATATAAAGGATGCCAATTATGGTCAACAAGATAATTGATTGGTAATAATTCAGTACAATGAGAAACAGTCATACTTATCCATGCCTCAATGCACACAAGGTAGTGTACAGTTAGGTTCAAACAATGGAAATTCATCTTTTGTTTAAAAGTGTTCAAATGCTGCAATGTTACAACTATCTTTGATTTCGGTTGTTGTTTGATAATTAATAGTAAAGAAATAGGGCATATAAGGCAAGGACAATCCCCTTCTCAGTCTATGCGAAAGTCTAAAATTTTTACAGGACATAATGTCTGGTAAAAATATATATTTTACCAGACCAAGCATTTACTTACCAGACGGACCTTTTTTCTTTAAATTTAATCATACATCATTCTGATAGAGATTGTTAAAAGGAGGGGGGGGGGGGGGGGTTCTCACTGTTAAATTGAAACTCAAATAAATCCAGATTTGAGATTATAAAAAAATTATTTTAGTGAAGTGTACCAGCTTACTATTAATAATTTTCCCTTATAAAAGGTAATATACAATTCAAAACAATTTTCCCTTTTTCTGGTTACTTGACACATACAAACGAAATACACATTGTCAAAGATTTTTTTAAACTTAAAATGCACTTTAAAATATATCTATTTCTTTCCTGAAGTAACTCATTGCGGTTACTCTTGTTTAATTGCCTGACGCCACGTGCGTCAGGCAGTATAAGGATTAATATTTCCAAGATCCGAAACTAAGCGATCATTCTTAATGAATTAGATTTTTTGCAAGCTGATTTACAACGGAATTTCTTACCTGCATTTAAAGAAAAACAGTTTGCAGAAGAAGGAATCATATTACTGATGCAAATTAATGATGTGTTTAATTCCTTCAGTTTTTTTGCATGCACATGTTTATTCTTTGCAATTCTTTGTATGGACATGTCCGTGCAACATTTTTTCTGCGTTTCTAAACTACTGGATCAGTCCATTTGCCTTCTACGAAAGGGGTGACACAATCATTTCGCGCCAAATGTCACATGTGAATTATCTTCGCGCCTTTTTCTTGGATTGTTCTATTGAATGGGTGTGATAACTTCTATGGAAATAAATAACATTTGTTCTTTTAATCCGATTCTTAAGCTTCAGATTTTTTATTAACAGTAAATTTTATCTCATTTTTTAAAAGCACACATTGTATATGGGCAGGCAACACAGAAGCAATGGATTTGCTGATTATTCTTACTATTTATCCTATAAATGGACTAGTCCAATCATAAACAAACTCCCTCCACCTAGTAAATGGGACATCCCTTCTTGATTCAGTCTGTTTCCACCTTTTCTTTCAATATTACATTTATTAATAATGTGTATCAAGGTTAGGCTTTTAAAAAAAGCTTAGAAATTCAGCCAGTATTATATTATTTCATGCTTTGTGATGAACAAGGGTTTCCTTTTAATAAGAGAGTAGGTCGGTACCCGTAAAGGAATGGGTTTCACTCCCGTAAGATTCTAAGTAAAGAATCGGCAAAATGAAGAAGACATCATGATCTGTACTGGTTTTCGTTTCATAAAAAAAACACGTTATTATAAATTATGAGAAAGGTCCTGAAATCGATTGAAAAGAAAAACTAAACAATTTTTAAAACTGTACATAAAGATGTATTTTAAACTCATTTATAATACATGCATATGGTAAGCATGGTCAGACCATCATAAAGTGAGTTTTTTTTCCGGAAGGGGGGGGGGGGATTAGTATCTTGTTTTGCTCTAGCTATAAACTGTACAGGCCATTTACTTTGAGTTCTAGAGCAGCATTGAAGCATTTTTGTCTCAAACACTTCAAGACAACTTTCCCAGATAAAAGTGTTCATAATTTTACTTCGTCGTCGATCGAGAACGACGGAAAACAGACCAGTCTATAAATAGAGGCCATCTCATCAATCTATCACTGACGAGAGTGTGCATAAAGAACCGCGCCCTCTGGTAAGAGAGTACAGGTAATATGAATTTCTTTAAAACGAATCATCTATTTTTCCCCGAATTATAATCTACGCTAGTGCACTTGCAGTTTCATTCCAACGTAACTAGACAGCCCGTGGGCTAACTGATAAAGGACCAAATAGAGGCATGTCTTAGATATTCGTTAATCTGTAGTATTTGGTTATGACATTTGAGAGAAAGTCAATTCAGGCCCGTAGGAAGCAATTTCACTTTGAGGGGACACTACCATACATTTTCAGTTTTTTTGGGGGGGGGGACACTATGAACCTATGAACTACCAAAATTCCTTGACAAGCAAAAAAAAAAGTCATCAGACATTATTATTGAGGGGGCACAAGCACATAGCAGCTATGCTTTCTATAGTATTCTATATATCGGCAAAATTATTGGAGGGGGGGGCGGCCCCCCGGTGCCCCCTCCCCCGGTTCCTACGGCAATGCAATTGTACATCTTGTGTAATGAAGTATTGCAACTATGTCGCTCCTTGATGACGGAAACATTTAGCACCTCTCTCGCCTATACGTTCCATAGATAATGACTGATTAGTCAGGCAAGCTTTTTGAAAAGCTATTACTTGTAATGAAAATAATTTTGCTCAACTGAATCTACGTATGAACTATCTATGCATCTATATTCCAAGACAGAGGAAATTCGAGTTAGAAATAAACGATCATGACAGGATTCTTCTAGGTTAAAATCAAACATGTATTACTGCTAAATGGATCAAATAAAGGATATGTGTGGACAATAAGATCATATGTACATGTAGATTCAGATTTTTAGGCCTTAATTTTTCATCGGACAATTGGTCCTGTATCCTGAATTTTTTTACCGACCCGAACCAAATTTTACCGGTAAAAACCGACGGTCCGGTGACTTTCGCATAGACTGCCTTCTTGGAGACAATATATTTCTCAATTTTCAAAGTTCATACAAAAGCTATATTTTCAAAAATTATGTTGTGCATATGTTGTAAGTAATGTCATCTTCAACACATTTTATTCACTGATATGTTATTTTCACCTGCTATAACTATTTTCTATTGATGTTCTATATGTATTGTAATATTTAATTTGTATGTATCATGAAATCTCCGAAAGGGGGAAATAAAGTTTGAATGAATTGGCTGATTTATTGATTAATAATTTGTTTTTTAAAGTTGACAGCTAAGCATATTTAGGTGGAGAATGGGTTTATTGGAGATATAAAAATGATTTTTGAATATAAAAGAGTGAAGTCTCCATTCTACATTAATGTTTAAATGAGGGGAAAAAATGTAAAATCAATTTTATGTTTCAATAAAATGGAGACTGAGCCCATTCTATAAGAAATTCAAACATTTCTGAAAAAAATTGTGCTTCAAAAAATTCGTTTTAAAGCACACTGAACACTTCAATAACAAGAAGACTTCGTAATGTAGTGGATAACGCGTTTAGTCGTATATCTAACCCTGAACTTTGGAGAGAGTTTGAATCGTATGTGACAGACCCCCTTTTTTCTTTCTACATACCTTAAAAACATTTAAGTTAACAAAAAAAAAATTATTTATCAATAAGTTACTCAATAAAATAAAGGAATCAAAAGTGCAAAAGATAATATTGACAGTACAATTTTTATGCCCCGCCATGAATATGGCCGGGGCATATAGTGTTTGTCATGTCCGTCTTCCGTCTTTCCATCTGTCCTTCCGTCATACTTCGCGTTTAGCTCTGTTCAAAGCTCAGTTTCAAAGAAACTATCCAAGATATTTTTATCAAACTTCATATGCTGATAGATATTGAGGAGAGCTATGCAATTGCCTCAACATTTTTTGACCTTGACCTTTCGTTTGACCTTGACCTCACTTTTCTTAAATTAGTGTTTAGTTCAGTTTTAATGAAACCATTCAAGATATTTTTAACAAACTTCATATGCTGATACATGCTGATGAGAGCTATTCTACAGCATCAATATTTTTTACCTTGACCTTTCCTTTGACCTTGACCTCACTTTTCTTAAATAAGTTTTTAGCTCAGTTTTAAAGATACCATTCAAGATAGTGTTATCAAACTTGATATGCTGATACATACTGATGAGAGCTATTCAACTGCATCAACATTTTCTGACCTTGACCTTTCCTTTGACCTTGACCTCACTTTTCTTAAATTAGTGTTTAGCTCAGTTTTAAAGAAACCATTCATAATATTTTTATCAAACTTCATTTGCTTATACATACTGATGTAACCTTTTCAACTGCATCAACAATTTTCGACCTTGACCTTTCCTTTGACCTTGACCTCACTTTTCTTAAATTAGTGTCAAACTTCATATGCTGATACATTCTAAAGTAAGCGATTCAACTGCATTAATATTTTTTCACCTTGACCTTTCCTTTGACCTTGACCTCACTTTTCTCAATTTGTGTTAAAATGTTGCATTACTAATATACCCTTGGCGGGGCATTCATGTCCTATGGACATATTTCTAGTTGAAAAATATAACTTTCATCAACTTTTAGAATTGAGAAATGTCTTTTCTCAGAGTTTGGGATTGTCCTTGCCTTGTATGCCTCTATTCTTTCTAAAGTCTTGTTATTCTTATTGTCATTTCCAGTTCATTTTAATTTGCAAATACTTTCAAGGTATAATTTAATGTAGAGGTCTTATTCAGAAAGTCATCTCAAAACAAAAATAACCTTATCTTTATGAACACCAGACCAGAGTGCTACAGTTCAAACTGAAACAATTGTTCCAGGTTCAGAAGATCAGACTCTGCAGAAAGTGAACCAGTGAGTCAGAAAACATATGGCATTATAATTATTTTGTAATTTTTTTCAGAGGTTTTAGGAGGAGAAGGAACTCCATATGAAGGAGGTATTTTTAAGCTGGAAGTTCAAATACCTGACAGGTATGAATCTTAGAAACAAGCAATCATTGATGAGTAAATATTAAAAAAAGAACATTTTTTCCTAGCAGTAAATTCATTTTTTAATATAATAAATTACATACAAGTAGAGTGTGTCTAGTGACATACAAGTAATTTGCTGTCACAGTCAATAATGGACTTGCATGGTTATATTCAAATGTTTTTCACCTGTTCACATCTAACCATAAGGGCATACAGACTGATTCCCCCTAGTTTTGTTTAATTTCCCCCTTATTTTGATGATTCCCCCATTTATTTAATAAAACTATGCTTTTTTCCAGTTATGTAACCATAAGGTAGCTCAGAAAATCTATGTCAAATGTTTTCATATTGCCTTTACAGATATCCGTTTGAGCCTCCCAAAGTAAAGTTTCTGACCCCCATATACCACCCAAACATTGACAGCGGGGGGAGGATATGTCTAGACACACTGAAGATGCCTCCAAAGGTTAGAATATTAAGGTGTGAAAATGGTAACATGCTTTCTTTTATTATAACTCCCCACCCCATCCCCACTTGAAAAGTATTGATGTTGATGACGATATATGTTTTGATTGGACACGTTGATGACGATGTATGTTTTGATTGGACACATTTGGTTTTCCTTAGCAATACATGGACAATGCCATTCTTTCTATAATATCAGGGATATACCCATCTCTTTCATCAAATCTTTGATTTTGAATTCTACTTGCCTCAAAATTGATACCAGAATTGATTGACAATCCCAGTATTGTTCCTGTTGAATTTGTGAAAAATTAGTAGAATATTTGTACTTTGCCAATTGGACAATTTGAAATCATATACCAGTCTTTCTTTTTAGCTCTACTGGTCAGAGACCAGAAGAGCTTATGCAATAGTAAGGTGTCCGTCGTCCGTCCGTCTGTCTAGCTGTCTGTCTGTAAACAATTTTTCAAAATGCTACTTCTCCTACAGTTTTGGTCTGATTTCAATATAACTTGGCACACAAGTAGACTACACTAAGATACATAATATAGTGCATCAGTTTTTGATTTGGATGAATGGCAGGGATTTTTTTACCCCTTGATTCCAGGGGCCGGGGCCGTCAAGATTGGGAAAAATAGCGATATTTGGTTGAAATTGGGAAAAATATCTTCATACAAATAAATAAAAAAAAACAAGCAAAAGTCAAATATTTAATAATTTTTCTTATTTTTTATAGTATGAAGCTGGCTTAAACCAGCTTTAGTGATATGAAATAATAGCGGCTGTTGAAGTTCAGAAGCTTAAAAATGGCAAAGCCGCAGGGTATGATAACATTGTAAATGAACATATTTATACGTTGTCATCTTTTTTACCTTTATGTAAGAAGTTCTTTAAAATAACATTTGATAGTGGGTTTGTTCCAGATGAGTGGTTAATTGGTATTGTTTGACCAATTTATAAGAATAAGAGCGATTCAACCCAGCCTGAAAATTACCGTCCTAGGCAAACTGGAGAGACTGACATGATGCACGTTTATTTTTTAGATAACGATCCCGACTTTAATATTTAAACATCGATCCCGCTTTAAAAATTATGCATGCAAACATCCATAGTATTCCGAATAACTTCTCGGAAGTCCTCGGATGGTTCGTACATCGCACATAGAGAACATTAACACCTTTTTGTCATTATTTTATTTTAATAATTTACAACTTAATACTTTTTTTCATATTGGGATTTTTTAGGTATGATTTTGGGAAAAACATGCACTTTTCAGCATTGGGAATGGGGCCGAATTTCGGCCCCGGAGAGACCCTAAAAAAATCCCTGAATGGTGTTGCCATGGTAACTAAAAATAGAAATTTCTGTAAAATTCCTTTAAAACGCTACTCCTCCTACAGTTTTGGTCTGATTTCTGTATAACTTGGCACACAAGTAGATTACAACAAGATACATAATTTAGTGCATCGATTTTTGATTTGGATGAACGGTGTTGCCATGGTTACTAAAAATAGAAATTTCTGTGAAATTCCTTTAAAACGCTACTCCTCCTACAGTTTACTTTTGGTCTAACTTCAATCTAATTTGGCACACAATTAAAATACAATACGATACATAATATGTATTTTGGTTTTTGATTTTGGTGAATGGTATTGTAATGGTTACTAAAAATAGAATTTTCTACAGTTTTCGTTTGATTTCAATATAACTTGGTACAGAAGAAGACTACATTAAGATACATAATAATTATTTAATTTATTATTGCATGTTGCAAAGTTTCAAATCCAAGTGCTACTTTTCCTTTGTTATACATACAAACCAGTAGAGCTACAGTCTCATTAGAGACTTCTGGTTTAAATGTGTAATTTTATAATATTTTTTAACAACTTATGAATATTAAAAGAATAGTTTAAGAATATCAAATGAAGTTAAAATATGTAATAAAATAAATGGACATTAAATACAGTTGAACTTCGGTATCTTGAACATGGATATCTCAAATACCATGGATATGTCAAAGTGATCGTAAAGTCCTTACCACGTATTAAGTATTTTACCCTTGATATCTTGAACCCATGGATATCTGGAAGTTTTTTCTTGGTCCCATTGAGTTCGAGATTAGAGGTTTGACTATACTCATATTTTACATATCTACAGGGTAATGATCACATCTGTCTTGTTTTTTTTTCTCTATAGGGTGCCTGGAAACCATGTCTGAATGTATCCACTGTGTTGACCAGTGTCCAGCTGTTAATGGCTGAACCAAATCCGGAAGATCCACTCATGACAGATATAGTAGGTTAACATCTTGTTTAGCAGAGGGTATTAAGATGTGTGTTAAAAACCTCATATGGTAACAGGAGATGTGAAACATGGGGCTATATAAATGTTTCACTGAGAATTACTGCACAACAGTACAATTACAAAATGATTCAAAAAAAGTGTCTACAATTGTATCCCAATCCAGAGTTACTTTTTATGAGCATTCTGTATACATAGCTATGACAGCAAGGATATGTAAAAATCTGAACACTTGTAAGATTTTATTGGGGCACAGCTCAGTCTCAGATATTTGAAATTTTCAGTCCAATGAATACCAGTACAACAGGGCAACGTATATCCAGACAGCCAAAGATTGGACGAGGAAATACGCCATGGAGGAAGTCATACAAGTAAGGATTATTTACAAGCCATTTCTTTAAAGAATACATAAAAGACATTTCCATCACCAGTCCAGGGCATAATGGATACTCCAACCTAAATCAATTAGACATTACAAAATAATGTGGCAGAGTATGTTATGCATATCTTGTAGGATGATACTTGTACTATGAAGAGTTCAAGGTAACCTTAGCTTTTCCGATCATATTATGTCCGTCTGTCTTTCTGTAAACTTTTCACATTTTCATCTTCTTCTCAAGAATCATTGCACCAATTTCAACCAAACTTGCCATAAAGCATCCTAAAGTGAAAGGGATTCAAGTTTGTTCAATTAAAGGGCTACACCCTCTACCACCATTTCAAGGTAACCTGAGCTTTTCTGATCACATTTTGTCCGTCTGTCTGTCTGTAAACTTTTCACATTTTCATCTTCTTCTCAAGAATCATTGCACCAATTTCAACCAAATTTGCCATAAAGCATCCTAAAATGAAAGGGATTCAAGTTCGTTCAATTAAAGGGCCACACCCTCTACCAATGGGAGGTAATGAAAATTTAATGGTGTATGAAAATCTTAAGAACCACACAGGGCCAGAAAAAGATGAAATTTGTATAATAGCTTCAATACATAGTGTAGATTAAGTTCAAATCATAGCCCCTAATGGTAGGTTGGGGCCACAATAGTCATTCAGAGTTTAAGATAGGAATATATAGGAAAAATCTTCTCAAGAAAAGTAAAGCCTTGCTTGGTCATATTAAGATGGAAGCATCCTCAGGTAGTGTCATTCAAGTAACGTTCAAATCATGGCCCCCATAGGAAGTGTGGGGCCACAGTCGGAGATCAAAGTTTTACATTAGAATATATTGGATTGATTGATTGTATGTTGTCCCATTGGAGAAATTTTCACTCATATAGAGACATTACTGTATGCTGTTGAAGGGCTTCAAATTTAAACCTATACTCAGCACTCAGGGCCATTGAGCAGTGAGGGTTCTTTATCATGCCAACGTATACCATAACTCTGGGCCTCGGTTTTTAAGGTCTCATCCAGAAGACCTGTGTCTTTCAATTCTAGTGAAGGAATATTTACTACCCATGTTTACATGTTAGGTTTGATGTGGTGAATGAGAATCAAACCAGGGCCTCCTGATCATGAAGTGAACATCTTACATGTACCACTAGGCTACTGTGACTGGTCAGAATAGATTGTAAAAAATGTTTAAAAATCTTCTCAGGAACAGCAAAGCCATGTTTAGTCGTATTAACATGGAAGCAAACCTCAGGTAGTGAAGATAGAAGTTTGTTCAAGTTGTGACTCCCCATGGGTCACAATAAGAGATAAAAAAATCTTTTAAAAAATCTTTTCAAGCAATTATTATATTTATCATTATTTATAGGAAGCATCCTCAAGTAGTGTAAATTTTAAGTTTGTTTAAATCATGGCCCCTGCGGGATCAAAGTTTTACATACATGTAGGAAAAATTAGGGAAAAAATCTTTTAAAATTTTCTTAAGAACAACAAAGGCATAATCAGTCATATTAATGTGGAGGTGTGTTCAGATAGTTTAGATTCAAGTTTGTACAAATCATGATCCCCGAGGGCAGGGTAAGGCCACAATAGGAGATCAAAGATAATATATATAGTAATACATGTATGTATAGGAAAAAATCGTAAAAATCTGATGAAAAAGAATAGCAAAAGCATAAGGAAAAGCAGCACCAAGGTGATTCAGGGGAGTGGTGTGGCCCCATGGGCCTCTAGTTTTTATTATAAAGTTTGTAGAATAGCATTGTTACAAAATTTAGAAAACATATTTTGCATTATACTTTGATGACATTTTGTGTGAAGTGCAGTAATAAATATTCTGAATGTGATTTTTATCTGTGAATCCTGAAATTTCTCTTTTCATCATTACAGGCTACAAAGTCCACAGACTTAAGAAAGGAAGATTCTCCTCTAGGACCAGAAAGAGTCAAGCCACTGAGTGAGAAGACTAAAGATCTAAAGAGAAGTCATTCCCCTCAACCAATGGAGGATCTGACAAACAAACTGTCAAGACAATGATGAACTTTGATTGGATGAAATTCCAAAATTTAGTCACCTATTGTTGACCAATCAAATCACAGGTTCTGTAAAAAAAAAAACCCAAGGTTTTAACAAGAAGTTTTTTATAGACTGTGATAATTCCAGTCATCCAGTCACAAACAAACTTGATGAATACTGTAATTGATGTTATGTGACATTGTATAGACACTGACTCAGATTTAGATATAAGCAAATGGGTTGGAAACAGAGATAATCATATAACTTCTATATGTATTAGGTTTCCATCTCTTCTAAATCTTCTGTGATGTGTTTACAGTGAGTATTCTATGATACATGTATGTTTACAGTGAATATTTTATGTTTACAGTGAGTATTCTATGATGTGTTTACAATGCATATTCTATGATAGTTTATGCAAGCATATAAGTCAACTTCAATTTACAACTGTATCAGAACTTCGTATCTTTATATCTTTAAAAAAATAAAGAATTGTCCCTTTAAAAATTTTTTTGTTTAATTTCTTTTTTCCTTAAGAAAGAATTTGATGGCAGCTAGAAGTAAACTTTTTAGCTTGCCTGAGCTGAAAGCTTGTGAGCTTTTCAGATGAAAGTTTGTCAGTAGTCTGTTGTTATTTTCTTACGTTTAAACTTCTCAAGAACCACTGGGCCAATTTCAACCATTTAATACCACCAAGCATGCTTGGTTGATGTGGATTTAAGTTTGTTCTGGAGAGCCAAAACCTTTGTTTAAAGGAGATAAACAGGAAATTTATAAGAAAATAGGGTGGTGCCATTTAAAAACTTCTCTAGAACCACTGGACTAGAAAAGAAAACCTGAAACTTTCTAGATGAGTGTAAATTCATGTTTATTCAAATCATGCAAATGACTCCTTAAGCTAGGATAGGGCCAGGAAAAGGGGTCAGAGTTTTGCACACCCATGAGTATATACTTTATATATTTATTTAAAAACCTCTTCAAGAACTGACATGAAAAAGTATGTATTCCTCTCCCTCCGTGAAAATTAAAACAACTCTTAAGGACTCTTTATTTGCTACAAGCAGTGAGTACATGGAGTGGTATGTTTTTTTAAACTTCTTTTGGTTGTAAATGATGCAAATATTAAATCCTAAAATATTAAGAATTTGTAGATTTTCTCTGATGTACTAAATTCTCATTTTGCAATACCCTTCATAAATCTATACAATTTTCCATCACTTTTATGATAGTATTGAATGAAAATCTAAACTATATATGGTTAGACTTATTCATTTTACCTACTGGTTTATAAACAGATTTTAATATATATATATGTTCATGATTTTTTTGGAAAAAAAATTATTCTATTAAGTATCTTAAGGTCTAGTAAATAAAAGGAGTGTACAGATTTCTTAAATTTGAGAAATAAATTCCTTTAATGATGCTTCATAACTTTGGTCAATTAAGGTGTATTGGGGCGTAATTTATAGGTAAACAAGACAAAAAAAATCATACATTTGTATTTTAAAATGTCATTTTCAGTGAAAAATAAGCAAACCAGTTTTCAATATGGGCGTTTTCTTTTAATATCAGACAAAAGAAATGTATCCAGATTGCCTACAGTCTCTCAGAAAATGGTAACATGTATGTTCTTAGCCTCTTCTTTAAAATAATATTGAATTGAATATACAATGTAGGTATCAGGATCAATTTTCACATGATTTCAATTTGAATTCCTTGAAAATACTTTATTTTCAACATACATGTATTTCTGTTAGAAAGGTAAAGTACGTGAAAAAGAAAGTTTTGATTGATCTAGCACAAAAAAGAAAGTCTAAAGTCATTTATTAGATCTTGACTTTAAACATGTTAAATAACAAGAAATTTCTCAAAAAATTCCTTATTCATGGTGTATCGTGAGGGAAAAATAATCACTGTATTTCAGAAAAAAATTTAATATATCAATATACAGCTGAGCTAAGGTAATTTGAACACTGATGTCTCGAATACCATCGATTTGTCGAAGTGATTTGATAGTCCCAATCACTTATTCTTTCAGTATTTTACCCCGATATCTTGAATACTTGGATATCTCGAATTATTTTCTCAGTCCCATGGAGTTCCAGATAACAAGGTTTCACTCTCTATCAAGCTTTGCATTTACTGTTGTTTTTTTTCATATTGTCTATTGATTTTAAGGAAGTTAGATTTCAGCTTTTATTTTTCTTAATTGATAGAAAGGGAATTTAAATTTTCTTTTGGAGTTTTAAAGAGTTTTGTCATTTTGATTATGCAGTTACTCTAATTTGAAGACTAAAACATGTCTATTACAGTGTATATACTTCCAGAAAATATCCAAAAAATTAATACTTCATTTTACATGTGTTTCAATTATCAATGTATCAGATCCCCCCCCCCCCCCCCCCCCCCGCATCTTAATACATCGATGTATTGATTACACCCCTATTAACAAGACACTTAGTTCTGCAAGCTATTTATTGTACTGCTATATATGAAATTTAACAACTCAGTGTAACAATATAATATACATGCATTCATTGTTAATAAATAATAGTAAATAAAAAATTGAAAAAAATCTTAAATTAAAAAAAAAAATAAAACCTGTAAACAACCAGTTAAGATAAAACTGTGGGATATGTTTTATATAGATATATCATTCAACATGTTCAAGCAATAAACAATGTTAACCATAAATGTAACAAACGAACTCTATAATCTATGAATATGTGATACAAGTATATAATAAGTCATATTATGTCAATAAACATTAACAATTATAGGTGCACACATCGTTAAATCTAGGCAATTGTGATTTTTTTGATTTTGAGCTACAGCACAATATATGTACAGTATCACCAATGTATATTACACAGCAAATACATTCAGAAGGTACACAAGTTTCATAATTCACAGTCATAGGGGCTAAATGCCTGGTACACACAGAATATGTGGGTGAATTAAAAAAAAATGACCAAATGCATATTTATCAACCCACAATAAAAATACAGACAATGAAAATAGATTTCTATGTCTCAGCATATGTCTTTAGATAGTGTCTAAATACCTGCCAAATATCTCGTTGATATCTCAATTAACAAAAAAGTTATGCCCAAAAATGATGCTAAAATTGTCAGGAGTGCAACACCTTTTTGTGACATTTTGAAATTTCAATATTTTTTGGAGATCTGTGAAATAAATAATAATGCTTTATGCTGAAAATAAAGACTTTCCTGATAATATTCAGAGTATGGAGCTTTAAATGTGCCCTGTAGTAACTTTTGTTTAATCAAGTTGTGGTCATGGCTGATGTTTAAAAAAATGTTATACCATGTCAGGAGTGCAACAGAAAAAATGTAGTGTTGTGAAAAAACATCAATTATAAAATTCTGAAAGAAAATTAAGACAAAAAAGAATTTTGGAAGTGTAAAACAATAACTGATATACAATTTAAAACTTAAAAATGTTATATAAATCACAAGCAGCATTAACTAGAGTCAAGTATATGTGCATACCCAATAATGTCAGGAGTGCAACATTTGATGTTTTGCTCCCAAGCATGAAAAAACTATTATCATTATATGATTTTCTGATTTTTATTTTGGAAAAGAAAGACACAAAGAACATTTTTAACAAATAGATTTATCAATTACAGGATCTGTCTGTACTTCAGATATATATTTCTGTGGTCAGGAGTGCAATACATTTTTTTTAAAGATCCAAGTTGTGTGATGAAAACACTTCTATTCATGCTTAGACGTATTCATTAATTAATAATGATCTTTTTGTATAATTTAATACTAAATTATTGACAGTTTTATTATTAAAATCCTTCCTTTTTCAATTTTATCAATTCAGATGTGTTTTTATCTTTTTTGTGATTTTTTTTAATGAACTTTGAAAATAAACACACTAAAAAATTGTCACAAAAATTCAAGTAATTCCTCCTCAACTTCACTGAAACAACAGAACAAGTTCTTATGTAATTTTCACTTCACAATTCTACTTTAAAGGTCCCAATGCTTTTGGTCAGGAGTGCAACAAATATGTTAGAATTATAAATCATCCAATAGGAATAAAAATAAAGAAAAAATGATGAGTAGAATTTTTCTGGTGGGTTACTGTGTTTGTCCTCTAAAGGAAAATGTGCTCTAAAATATATTTTATCTTCTAAATATACATTTAAGCTAGTTTTTTTTGGCATAAATTGGGAATAATTCCAGATAAAATGCGAATTTTAAATACTTTCATCTGTTTTAATTATGAAGTATTGGACTTTAAACATTGCACAGTTTCATTACCACTTGATGTTGCCAACACTTTATGAATTTTTGTGTTCTACGGTTTTAAATTTTACTGCAGTCAGGAGTGCAACAAAACTGCTTTATAATTACCAAATGAATGCTTTTCAACTACATGTATCTTTACTAAAAAATGAGTTAAAAAAAATGTTTGATACTATTTGATGTTCAAAACACTATTTCTATCAACAAATTACAGAAATTTTCTAGTCAATTCAGGGAATAGTTTTCATCATTTCACATTTAGTTTTATATACAATTTATATATATTACACTTTGCAAATAATCATGTCTCAAGGTCTTCTATATATGAAAAACCTGCCGTAAACGATCAAAAATATCAAAAGGACAAATTAATTTACAAAGTAAGAATGGGTTATTGTGTGTTACAATTTTTAAAACAATGTTAAATAAAATACATATCAGATGTCAGGAGTGCAACACAATAATGTAACATAGGGTCACTTCAAAATCTAGTATTTTTTGTAAGAGAACTCCTATATAAAAATTCTTTTTTTGCTTATAGATTTAAAGAATTGGCTTGAACGGACACAAAAGTGAAATTTGGGGAATTTTATTGCTTCATATTTTTTTCATATTAAAACTTTTCAAACCAGAATTGAAAAAATAATGTAAAATAACAATCAAAAAGCCAATTTTTTGTCACATATACAAGAGAAGATACTCAAACAAGGTTTAGATTTAATCATTTATACCCCTTTTACCATTTTGAAGCATAAAAAACTCTAATTTCTTGTGATTATGTATTTTAGAAAGTCTTTTAAGGTGTAATGATATTTTCTTTTTTCAAAAGAAATTTTACTAATAAAAATTCTGAAACTTTTTAATCCAATTGTCTATTCTATTGCCACTTCAGGATTTTAAACTAGAATGCATGTGCAATATGATGCTATAAGTGAAAAATATGTTAGAAGTAGTTGAATTTTTCCAAAAAAATTCAGTTAGGTGGTCATTTTTTTTTAATTCACCCATGTACACAGTTTACATACCCGGTATTTTTTATGAAGAAATATCATTCTCAAGTCATACCAGGCTATCCCATTAGAGCATTAATTGTGTCTATTTTTAGAATTTTTAATCCATTGTACTGTTTTTATAATGGGATATTTTAAATTTCACTGCATTATTACTGAGCATTAATTCAAAAACAGAAAATGCAATATAATATACACATGGATTTAAATGCAGACATCACTAACTACGGATGGCTTTAATTAGTGTAAGAAACCTACAGAGTAGACAGAATTACTTATGTAACAAAGTAACATAGGTATATTATTACAATAAACAACTTGATTTTGTGTTCATATAAAATTATATATATAGAAGGTATTACATGTATTGAATATTCATGAGTAAGTAACTTGTAAGATGAGAAAACTTTCTCCAGAGAAATATACAATTCTATTTTAATATTATTTGTTCTTTAAACCACTCATTACATCTTCATAATTATACAGTATAAAATATGATTTATTTCAATTACCTTGGGATGATACTATATTTACTAATATTCTAATGGCATCATGTTGTATAGCTTGTCCTTGTTATGGGATTCTGATGAAGATCAAATGGAGGGATTTAAAACATGAAATTATGTAAAAATAGAGTAAAATATACATGTATAATATTTTAAAACAAAAGCATTCCACATGATAAAACCAAGAACACTGGTGATTCATACTTTGTGTTGGACGGAACCTCATATCCCTGTACATTATTGCTTCAAGGTTAATAAATGCAGAAAATGTTTCTTTGTACCCCTGTGTTACTACCAAAATATATTCGACTAAAACAAGTCTTATTTAACAAGTTTAAGACCCAAATAGAATAATCAGCTCTCATATGATGATTGACAGAGATTTTTGTTAATATTAAAATTATATTGGGTTTTTGATACAAGAATGAAATTTAAGTACACTTTAGTTGTACAGAGGAATTTGATATGCCTGTTTGATTGGGATGTGAACTGATTTGGTCCAACCTCTGTACAGTTTTATACATGCCTAATGTCTGCCTCCTCCACATTTCGCGGCCCAGGTTTACCGGTTTTCCAGAAAATCTCCACACACCTGACATGTCTACAGCACTTGGCAAACTGTTCTAGAATTTTCTGCAATATCTGTATGATTGGAGAACACACAAGTTTCGATGTAACACAACAATTCCAACAGAAAACACCTGTTGGTTGCATAAAGCCGTTGAATAAAACTGAAAGTACAGGTTTCATGACATATTCACCAGTCGTCATGAAAATTCCAATAAATATAGGCTGGAAGACGTATTTAATGATGTACTTGAATAGTTCTACCACAAACAGGATAAAGAAACTTGTCACAATGCGTAGTGCTCCAAAAAACTCCTGCCAAATTCTCCGGAAAATTCCCTCCAATCTACAAAGAAACAAGAACCATACTAAAAACAAAGTGTTTATTCAATAAATTTATATCCATCTTTAAATTATTCATAAAAAAATATTGTGTTATCCATCAGTATGTTACATTTCTGGAGGAGCCATGAAAAAAATGACCTTTAACACTTCTTTCATATTGTAAGTTTCAGATGACTTTTAAAAAAAAGATCGTAATACTAGTGTAGAAGTAAATTGTGTTTTATGCTACAGAGAAACAGCATAAAATAATCAAAGTTTTCATAAAAAAGAAAATATTCAGTGGGTGTAAATCTTTTATAAATGTTATTCTGCATGAGAGACAATGAAATGTACGTTGCTTAAAAAATAAATTATATTAAAATTATAAAATAAATGAATTATGAAAAAAAATATAGTGAATAAAGAAATCTTTATGATAGTTGAAGAAAAATAGTTCAACATTTGCAAAAATATGGGGACACAAGATTATAGGCAAACTGGTCCATTGGTCATAGAAGAAGATATAGCTATTCTAAGATCTGTGTACACGGGGCCATACAACTTAGAGGAACACTTTTGATCTTCGTCTCACTTTTACAAACAAACAAATTTACGGAGACCAAATTAAAAGTGAGCTCATCTATGTTTTACAGCCCTGGAGTAGTACTCCTGTGGTTCTAGATTTTCAAGTTTTCCTGTCTGCGAGTTTTCAAGTTCACCTGTCTGCGAGTTTTCAAGTTCACCTGTCTGCGAGTTTTCAAGTTTACCTGTCTGCAAGTTTGGGCATCATAGCTTCTTCTTCTTCATTGTCCACTTCCAGATATTGTACTGATCCATGTCCGAAATAGCACGTCATACTGCTAACAATAAAACATACCAAATAAGTCATGCTGCTAACAATAAAACATACCAAAGTAATAACCCATACTGCTAACAACAAAACATACCAAAGTAATGAGCCATACTGCTACAAAACATACCAAAGTAACAAGGGATGTTTGTGAAACACTTATCCCCCCCCCCCCCCCCCCCCATAATTGGAATTTTTCTAAGTCACAGGGAAATAACTCTGTCAAAAATCGCTTGATCGTACCCAAAACAGAACTTGATCTAGATATTTTTATGATAAATCTGTATACCAAATTTCGTTTCAGTATGTGCAAACTCTGTGAAGAAAATGAACAGAAACTGCAAATAATTGGAATTTTCCTAAACCAAAGGGGCATAACTCTGTCAAAAATTGCTCGATCGTACCCAAAACAGAACTTGATCTAGATATTTTTATGATAAATCTGTATATAAAATTTCATTTCAGTATGTGCAACCTCTGTGAAGAAAATGAACAGAAACTGCAAATGATTGGAATTTTTCTAAGTCCAAGGAGCATAACTCTGTCAAAAAAATTGCTTGATCATATCCAAAACAAAACTTGACCTAGACATTCTTATGATAAATCTGTATACCAAATTCATTTCAGTATGTGCAACCTCTGCAAAGAAAATGAACGGAAACTGCAAATAATTGGAATTTTCCTAAGTCCAAGGGGTATAACTCTGTCAAAAAGTGCTCAATCTTACCCAAAGCAAAACTTGACCTAGATATTCTTATGATAAATCTGTATATAAAATTTCATTTCAGTATGTGTAACCTCTGTGAAGAAAATGAATGGAAACTGTTGGTGAACCGACAGATAGACCGACCGACAGACAGCAGCAAAGCAATATGCCCTCCCTTCTTCGAAGGGAGGCATAATAAGTCATACTGCTAGCAACAAACCATACCAAAGTAATAAGTCATACCGGCAACAACAAAACATACCAAAGTAATAATTAAGTCATACTGGCAACAACAAAACCTACCAATGTAATAATTAAGTCATACTGGCAACAACAAAACCTACCAATGTAATAATTAAGTCATACTGGCAACAACAAAACAAACATGTACCGAAGTAATAAGTCATACATGTATTAGCAACAACGAAACATACATAATGATGCTATGCTACATGTAACAATTTGTAATACAAATATAGTGTACACTGCATGTGCTGGACCATATATGTCACAACTCACAAATAATAATCTCATGCTGATATGTGTTTTTTAAAAAAAATTCCTCCTAAAATATTTACCTCATTTTGAATTCTTTGATTATTGAAGCTTGAAATTTTAAACTGCAGTGGATTAAACACTTGCACTACATCATGACCTACCCAGCTTCCTCTTTGACAATATAGGGGGGTGCCATGTAGGCTGGTTTGAAGTCTGTGAAGCTTATATCGTGGTCTTTATCAGGTGGATGGCCCTGCTCCTTGACCTCGTTGTTGGGATGCGCCTGGAACATGTTATGTGAGGGAGGTTCCTGTCTCTGAACTGCTGCCCTGACCTGAGCTACATCCACTGCATCATAATGACCCTCATCCCGATAGGTTGGAACAGACTTACCCTCCTGTAATCATGTTAGATTTTTTGTTAAAACAGAGTGGTATTAATATTATATATTATTATACATGTATTAACTAATTATAATATTTTAATAATAATTATTATTATATATACATGTAGGAATGTGGGACATCCTTTTTTCCCTGTGACAGCCATTAATTAATATCGGGAATGTTAATCTTATATTGTCTCTTTCTTGGTCTCTTGACAGATAATCATTTACATAAATGTATTTAATGATAATAATCATCATAAATATTTTGTGAATTCACATCATTTCATAGTTTGTTGTTCATTACTATCAGCAAAATCAGATAACTTGTTAAGATGATATTTTGAGTTAAGGGAGGTAACTCTTCCTGCATGTGTTGATTATTACCTTTTTTGTTTTCTTTCCTTTATTGCTACGATTTGAGGATCTGCCAAGCTTATTCCCAAAACTGGCCCAGCTTTTCCATGTGTTCTCAGACCTGTTGGTCATTTGTCCTTCATCTGCTTTAATATCTGCTCAATGAAAAAAACACTTATAGAAATAATATATGAGCACTGATGAAATACATGCTTCATTCAAACAAAAAAATATCTGAGAAATTTTCATTGTGAAGATATTCTGATAGTCTTAATGGTGCTACATCACACTGATAATCTTATGTAATGGTATGGGCCGTGTATATCGGTCTGGGTCTAAGTCGGTAGAGCACCTGATTAGCGATGCAGAGGTCTTGGATTCGATTATTGGTTCAGCCATACATTTTCTCCTTTCCTGTTTATACATAATTTGGTGCCGTTGTCAACCCCTGGACTTGCAGATGAAAGTCCTGCCAGGGGAAGAAAGAACTTGGGTTGTGTCTTTGAGGGTGAAGACAATTTAAGGAGTAAGAATGTAATGGTTTGAGCGGTGTATATTGGCCTGGGTAGTTCAGTTGTTAGAGCATGCCACCTGACTGGTGACGCAAGGGTCCTGGGTTCGATTCCCAGTCCTGCCATACATTTTCTCCTTTCCTGTTACACTTATCTAATGTCCTACCAGTGCCTTATTGTCATAATATACACCAATTAAATGAGGACCTAATCTAGTTCCCTAATGATAGCTTTTCATTTCCCTACCCTCTGCCTGACCCTCCAGCCTGAGTCTAATCTAGTACCATAATGATAGATCAATCCCTTCTCTCTGTCTGACTTTCCAGCCTGAGTCTGAATGATTCAGTTTCCTGTTGTTTCTAAACATCTCTCTTCTTATGATATCATATAGGCTCTGTAAGTGCCTGATCTAGTTCCCTAATGATAGCCTAATTTAGTCCCCTACCCTCTGCCTGACTCTCCAGCCTGAGTCTGAGTGATTCAGCTTCCTGCTCTTTCTTCTTCTCTGTTTTAAATGTCTCTCTAAGCTCTCGCAGCGTCTTCTCATCTTCATCTGTATCATCCCAGGAGCCAGTGCCTGATCAGGGGAGATAATCAAATATTATAAATGCAGTGATCAACAAATCTACGGATCCGAAATATATTCTTATTTCTATCCAATCTACATTGTACTGCTATTCCAGAAAGATTTCAAAACTTCCTTTTGTCAAGAACTACTGCCAATGAGCAGGAAAATAGCTCTTTGTTGTAATACAATCATGATATACCATTAACAAACCTCCTCTAGACAAACAATACTATGATCATGGACATTTTTATGGGGTAAAATTTTGCAATTTCCATTTAACAGAGTGTTTACTTGGGGTTTAATTTTACAGAAGGAAAAGAGTTTACAAAATATGTTGGTTTATTCACCTTCAGATGGTGATAAATTTTGTGAAACTTTACTCATTTCAAAATTTGTATAAATTTCCCCCAAGTAAACATTTCCACATTTACAGTAACTGCTGTGACTTAAAAACACATCTCAAAACATCTTCAGGTTAAGTATAGAAAATAAATCTTTCACAGATTTTGATGAACTGTATTTGAATGACAGAGTTTAAGTGTGACAGAGCATTATATATAGCTACAGAGCTGAGTTTGGTTTGTGTCTTACTCATTATACTGTCTTGTTGTGAAGCTGGGGTTTTCCCTTTTGTTGTGACATCATAAGTTGTTCCTTTTTTATCTTTCCCAGGAGGAGGCTCTGTTTTCTGGGGTGTAATGTTTCCTAAAATATTCAACAATTCTACTTAATGAGGGTAAACAGGAGTCCCAAGGACAATAGCACTCATCTGAGTTATATAGTGCTCTGACAAAAAGAATGAGGAAAAGAAATCCTTTATAAGTGGTCACAAATTTATTGCACTGTTTTGATAATTTTCATTACAAAATGTTACAATCTCTAAAAAATGTTTTGTTTGATGTATATAAAGAAATATGTTGCAAATTTAAATTATTTTGTTGTTCATGAAATGATCACATGTTCCCATTTAGTGAGCAATATTCTTGTTTGCTTCCAGGAAGACCTGTGATTACATCTTTAAGTTAAACTGAGAAAAATAGATTTTTTTTGACTGGGAACTTTATAAATCTTGTGAACTTTCTCAATGGTAGAATGCTATGGGATAGCTTTGAACATACCAGAAACAGCTGGTCGGAAGTTGTACGGAGGTGGGCTTTCCTTTGACTTCTTCTGTGGTTGTTTACTAAGTATATATAAAGAATACTTCCTAATTTTAATTATTTTGTAGAGGACATTAAACTTTCTGTCTTTAATAAAATAAAAATACAAAAAGTTATGAGCTTAATAAGAAGGAATGCATATCATTCTTTTGTAAATACTTTATTTTCATCCATTTGAGAAATGACTTACTCTTTTCTGACCACCTCTGCATAGGTGTAGTCCTCGGGTGTCTGGTCTAAAACAATAAAACAGCCACAGAAAATTCAATACACATTCAACTCAGTGTTTCCATGCACATATATCGCACTTTTTGATCCATCATGTCCATTAATTGTTACTTTTATCAAGTTATGAAAAAATGTACCATTCCGTTATATATTATCACATGACTTTAATATTAATTGAAATAACATTGTATACCCCGCTCTGTACTGTACAGTCACGTGATAAATGCATGTAATGTGCACTGTATGTAGGTCAAAAACAAATTTCAATATCGCAAGGCCATACCCTAGTTAAAATAAAAAATTTAAGTAATAAATTGTTTCAGCATTACTTGTAGTTTATGGAAAATGCTGCTGCTTTAAATAGAATTTGCATTTTATTAGTTTAAATTTCAAGATATTTGGCTCTAGTCGAAATATGTTTGACCTTTACCAAGTATTTTATGTACTATCTATTAAGTTATATGCCCTCAATTTCAGGAAAGCATGCAGCAGCACTTTTCAAGTTAAAGAATGTTTCCATTATGTATATTCAAAAAATGGTCAAGATCTATTAAGTGTATGCCCTTGCGAAAAGTTTTGATGTAGTTCATTACTCTTATGCAGTTTAAAATTGCAAATTATTTCATTTTCTGTTATTGTGAGAAATTGCTATATTTGTGTGATGTCCCAGTAAACATTTCCCGTATAAATTAGGCCCAGTCCCCTTTATGCAGCCTTAACAGAGCTGCGTTGCTTAAAATATTAAATATGCATCAATTAAAAATTAAAACAGCCTTAGGAACAGAATGCAATAATTGACTAACTGGCTGGGAGTGATGTCCTCTCCTTTGGTTTGGGTCTCTCCACAACAGAATCCTGTCGACTGGCTTCTTCATCCTCAATCTCCGGGGGAACTGACCGCTTATCCCCAGTCTGTCTGGGAGAAGTAAAATCCAGAGTACTGTCCCATTCAGAGTCTGTCTCCTCAGGATCATTCATTGTAAAAAGAAGCCTAGAAATATATAGATATTGTATTATCACTGATATTCATCACCAGGAGTCAAATTTTTGTGGTTTGAGAAATAAATTTGGTTCATGGGGATTTGATTTCATGAATGGTAGAGAAACATGACACTGTAATCAACTAATTTTACTATATAAATGAGGTATTTAGGTCTTTAATTTTAATTTGCAGATCAAATATACTGTTACAAAACATCACATTTCCCTTACAATTGGAAGCAAGGGATTATATCTAGAGAATTTAGGAGGTGAATGCTGGATTCTCTATTGTTCTTGTATACCTAATTCATAAAATATCTCATCTTAACAGCGACGAGTGTGTACCTCTGTGTTTACATTTTGTAAACTTCAGGGCACCCTGTCAAAAATCTGCCAGATGTATATATCACATTTTAAGACCTTTGCATTTCAGTGACTGCTCTTTGTATCGCTTGATTGAAACATTGGAATGAAAAATTAACTTTTGGTGATAAAAATGAAAGGAAGTTTAATTGTACCTGGCAATGTATCAAACCTCTGCTCGAGTCTTGTCAGAACTTGAGGCCAGTCGGGGTTACCAATGTAAACTTCCGGTGCAAAAAAACTTTAAACTCTTGCCAGTAGTCCAACAATATCCGCATTATATAAAAAGCCTTTGTTGTTATGGATATACTTATTTTTGAGATCTGTATTATCTTAATAATAATTTCATAAATTTGTCTGACGATGGTTAATGGGTATTAGTCCCTTTTAATTAAAAAAAAAAAAAACTATATATTTAAAGTCGGGATCGTTATTCTTCAGAAAGTGAAAGAACAATGACAGAATCACAATTCAGGCTAAAATTAAAAAGTTAGATCGCATCGCCTTTTTTGTTTTTATGAAGTCGTGTGTCGTTGATTAGTATTCAGTGGTAAGTATCTAAATATTTTCCTACTTTATTTTAAAATTCTAGCAGAAATGTGAAGCGTTTCACTGTGAAAATGTATATCATTGTAACGTGTTTGGGTCCGTGTATTTGGGTATAGATCCTTAATTAAGACAATGAATTAAACAAATGATTAGAAATGATAGTTGACAAAGCATGTAAAAACGAACGAGTCAATATATACGGAAAATATTAAGATTTCCTATCCTGAACATAAAACTAACAAATATAATGCATATGGGTCTGGCACCCAGACAAGTCTCTGTCCTGGATGTATCTTTCAGGGCAGGTACGTATCCCAACCTGGGATGTGTCCTGCAACAGGACAGGTCTGTGTCCTTGATATATATATACCAGGACAGGTCCCTGAGGTTTCTGTCCTATACACAGACAGATCTTAATGATAATAATACTGAGGAAAGTATTTACCACTTTATTAATCCTCAAATACTATGAACCCAGTATACTAGACACCATATACTGTAATATAACGGTCTTTACACTCCACAGTGTAATTGCGCCTTTGTCGACCTACTCATATATATACCCATATATACCCGGATTACCCTTGGCCACTTTATCACACTACAATAGAGTCTGGTTGACGTAATGTATAAAGACACCCCGAGCCCGATCTCTGTCACATCATGAAAATTTCATGATAGAATGTTCTGTCTACTTGTTGACCAGAATTGACTTCCTTTATAATTTCATTCAAGTAACTGTGTGGTCTCAGAAATTAAATTCATTTCTTAAATAGATAGGAATAGAAACTATATATTAGTTTTAAGTCATTTATTTTATGATATACATGATATAAGTATTTCATTGATGAAATTGGGTACCCTATCTGAGAAGTTCCACACCTTAATTCTTTTTTATACCCCAGTTCCTCAGTTGGATTAAGGCCTGTTGTGTACTATGGACTATCAAAAAAGCAATCCAAATCAAAGATAGTTCTAACATTACAGCTTTTGAATACTTTTCAGCAAAAGATGTATTTCCATTGTTTGAATAAAATATTAATGTAAACCACCTTGTGTGCATTAAGATGTGGATAAGCATGATTGCTTAACATTGTCATAATTTGTGCTGCTGAATTATTATTTAATTAATCAATTATCTTGTTGACTAGTTGGAATAATCTGTGTCTTGGGACAAGCTTTCACAACCAGGTCCGTAGGATATTGTCTGAGAATTCATGAGGACATGATTGAACTACAATGCTTCACGCCGGTATATTTCATGAAGTGCATTGTAGTTCATGTACCTCATGAATGCTCAAAAATAAATTCAGATCTTATGTTTACATTATTTGTCTGATGACTTGCCAAAAATTTCGCATTCAACGATCATTTTTGAACAAAACAGTTTGCACTATAGTTTTGACACCAAGTACCTTATAATGACCTCACAACATGCACAATGGGGATATTCTTGCTCATCCATGGTAGTTCATGATAAAATGAACAGTGAATCTTAAGGAAAAATATTTGGTAATGTAAATAATCTGATATAAACAATCTACATTACTACCAAAGTTCCTTTAGAAATTCCATATACTTCCCAAGATATGCTGAAATTGATTCCAAAATTAACCTAATTTTCTTTACTCTAACTTAAGCTTGCATGGGCTGTGATCATTTACACTATTTGTAAAGATTGAAAGACGGGACAACTTTTTCCTGGAATTTATTTGATACCGACTCTAACATTTTCTTTGATAATAGCACTTAGTCTACAAAACTTGATCTGATGTGGTCTTACCAAGTAACCAACATTTTTTTGCTGTTCAATTTTTGAAACTCTAAAAAGTATCTAATACGTTCCGGGAAAATTTCATCCAGTGGTAATTAACTCTACATTAGTAAACAACATGTCTGTACAGCTGTTCAAGCAGACCTTTATTATAGTTTTACATGAAAGAATTATTAGAGACTTAAACTTATGACTTGTGGTTAAAAAAATCAACTTAGAAATGTTGAAAGATTATGCACATACTATGCAATTGTTCACTGTAGTTCAAGCACCGTCTGTATACATGTGAATGACCTGGTGAATATTCCATTCAGGTGAGTGGTCCCAACCAATGAGAGACTTGTGTGTTGTCCATAAGGTTGATTGCTTGAAATATTCTTCTTTAATACTAAACAAAATGAAAATAATCATGGTAATGGATTTTTTTTTTTAAAACTATAGCTCCAAATATAAGTGTATGTGTATGCATGTCTGCATAATATCTACTTGTTGTCTTGTTCAAATATAAATGAATAAATCAAATAAATTTTTAAAACATTGATCTTTAAAAATATTTTAAATGCATGTATTTTCACTTAAAACTGATGTTTCTTTGTGTATGTTGTGATCTTGTGTTTATTTCTCATGAGAGTATAATTTATAAAAGCCACAGATTGAGACAACAAGTAGAATTTTCAAACTTTTTACTGATAAATCTTTACTAGTCTGCAGTGCTACTCTTCATATTGAGTGTAGAGATTCATGCATTGACTTGATTTGAAATCAAACATGCATTTTTATGTAGTAAGAATCATTTTTGAATTTAATCAGAGAGCACTTTAATCATGTTAATGATTGCTCAAAATGCAGGAACTACATCAAATCTTTTACATGATTTGAATGTTTTTTAAATTGACAGTTGTACTTTACATGTTATATGCATATTTTTTTAATCAGAGTGTTCAGAACAAAATGAGTTACCAGAAGTTTTACACCAATCCTATCCAGTCTAGCTCCTTGCTTTGCCAGCTCGCCTCTATGTGGAGGAATGATATAATGTGTGATGCTGTCATACGAGCAGGCACGGTCAACACGAAGGTAAGAAAAACTCATATAATTTAAAATTTATCCAGCTTTACATCTTCATGTTGTTTAAAAGCAGGTTAGGCAATCTGCATGGAAAGTAGATTTATAACTTTATGTTTTTCAAATTCCTGAAATATCATTTCAAATAACTTACCTTTTTCTCAGGCTCATAGAGTTGTTATGATGGCAGCATGCCCTATGCTGCAGTCCATGGAGCATGCAGCATCAGGCTCCCAGCTAGAGATTCGACTGTCCCCAGACATTAAGCAGCAGTCTATTCTGTCATTCCTTCAGTACTTGTATGAGGGATTTATGTTGGTAACAGAAGACAACTACAGAGATATTGAGAAGATAGGACGTCTCTTACAAGTGGACAGTGTTATTAAGTGCTGTGCTGATTTCTGTAAGAGTCTGATGGACAGAGTTGGTGCATTGTCTGGCAGAGACCAGTACCGCTATACTTTCTGTGATATGATTGAGTTCCGTCATGTCCGCACCTCAGAATTACAGAGAACCCTGCCAGACACTCAGGTCAAAAGGTCACACGATCTGTCTCATGATACCTGTTTGAAAAAAACTAAAAGAAGACATAACAGCAGTCAGATGACAGCTACCACCATTAAGCATGGCAACAATTCTGATCAGTCAAAGAATCCTCAAGAAGGAGATGTTCTACAGGACAGTTTAGAGCTAGTACAGACTGAGCCAAATGACAGGGGAGGATCCTGTCTTAGTGTTGGGGTGGGTGTCATCAGTCACAGTGACTATAATAAAGAGACGAGTGTCGTGACACCCACAGAAGAGTGTTGTGACAGTGCTCATACGTGCACTCCTCCTTCACTATCCACCTCATCCACAGGGTCCAGAACACCAGGTCCCTCCTCAGCTAAAAGCCAAGCTAGAGGATTGTCACCCAGTGTTAGCTCCACAGCAATATTTGATGGTAATGAGGAGGTTCCTGGGGATCTTAGTGAAAGGACTCTTGTGATAGCTAGTGATCAGGAGTCAGACTCCTGTGATCCAAATAAATACACAGGATCTAAGTCACAAAGGTAGGTACAGAGTTTACAAATAAAGAAGGTAGAAAGTATATGTACAATGAAGATTAAATGTTTTACATTGAATTTAAGACCTATTCTAAATCTTGCAGAACAGAGTTGGAGGATAAAATCAGTCCTGATTTGAGCATTGTGAAGGTAGAATCTGGGACTCTAGACCAAGAGAGACACCGGCTATTGGAGCAAGAGCAGGTCGCTGCAGAGTATAGGGACACTGGTCAGCTACAGAAGTCAAGGTCATTAGAAAACATGGATATAGGTCAACAGCGTAATACTAGAAGGTCATCTGACGGGACAGCTCAAAGAAACTTAGACAGTGAGACTATACGGAATGATCATTCCAGGTTTAACTCTGGGAGTGTGATACAAAGGCATTCAGATACTCAGCCCCCCTCTACACAGGTCGCTCAGGACAACTACCTCCAGGAACAGCAGCTAGCTGTGGATCACAGAAGTTATCCACAAAGAACAAATCAACAAGGTCAGCTGGCGTGATTCATAAAGTTTTCACTAAATATACAAACATTTTTATGCCCCACCATGAATATGGCCGGGGAATATAGTGTTTGTCATGTCCGTCTTTCGTCCTTCCATCCTTCTGTCCTTCCGTCTGTCTTTCCATCACACTTTGCATTTAGCTCTGTTCAAAGCCCAGTTTCAAAGAAACCATCCAAGATATTTTTATCAAACTTCATTTGCTGATAGATATTGATGAGAGCTATGCAACTGCTTCAATATTTTTGACCTACCTTGACCTTTCCTTTGACCTTGACCTCACTTTTCTTAAATTAGTGTTTAGCTCTGTTTTGAAGATACCATTCAAGATAGTGTAATCAAACTTCATATGTTGATACATACTGATGTAAGCTATTCAACTGCATCAAAATTTTTGACCTTGATCTTTCCTTTGACCTTGACCTCACTTTTCTTAAATAAGTGTTTAGCTCAGTTTTAATGAAATCATTCAAGATATTTTTATCAAACTTCATATGCTGATACATACTGATGAGAGCTATTCAACTACATCAATATTTTTTTACCTTTACCCTTCCTTTGACATTGACCTGACTTTTCTTAAATTATTGTTTAGCTCAGTTTTAAAGAAACCATTCAATGTAGTGTTATCAAACTTCATATGCTGATACATACTGATGAAAGCTATTCAACTGCATCACCATTTTTTGACCTTGACCTTTCCTTTGACATGACCTCACTTTTCTTGAATGAGTGTCAAACTTCATATGCTGATACATACTGGTGTAATCTATTCAACTGCATAAATATTTTTTTACCTTTCCTTTGACCTTGACCTCACTTTTCTTAAATTAGTGTTAAGTTTCATATGCTAATACGTACTGATGTAACCTTTTCAACTGCATCAACATGTTTTGACCTTGACCTTTCCTTTGACCTTAACTTCAATTATTGTAAATGAGTGTTTAGCTCAGTTTAAATAAACCATTCAAAATATTTTTATCAAACTTAATATGCTGATATGTATTTGTGAGAACTATTCAGCTGCATCAAAAATGGTTGACCTTGAACTTTCCTGTGACCTTGATCTCACTTTTCTTAAATTTGCATTTTGCTTAATTTTAAAGAAACCATTTAAGATATATTTATGTAAGCTTATGCACTTATATGTAATTTGGTGAGAATTTATCATCTATATCCAACTTTATAGATTTCAATTTTTAAGAAACTATTCAAGATATTCTCATCAAATTTCATACATTAATACAAATTTTCATGTTGCATTACTAATATACCCTCAGTGGGGCATTCATGTCCTATGGACATATTTCTAGTTATATCAGCTACATATAGTAAAGAAAGATATGCAATGACAATTCAGAGAAATGAGAATTAGGATTTTACATGCACAGCATTTAGGTTTTTAGCTCACCCGAGCTGAAAGCTTAAGCTCATTGTCTGGCATCCATCTGTCTGTCCATCTGTAAATTTTTCACCCAATTTTAACTAAAGTTAATGCAAAACATCCTTGGGGAAAAGGGATTATAATTGTACCAGTGAAGGACAAGACCCCCTTGTAAGGGGAGACAATCAAGAAAAGACAAAAATGGGTGGGATCATTAAAAAATCTTCTCGAGAACAGACCTGTTTACTCTTACGATTTCGCCGTATTTTGTACGGATTTTGAGTCCAAAATACGTCTCAAGTTTGGCTGTTATGAAAATACGGAAATCAGAAATCTGTTCGTTTGGATTTTAGCGATTAGTTTTCGTGTTGATCTGTCTCAGTTTGACGCTTTTTAATCGGTAGAAAAAGAGAAAGATTTCAAACACTTAAGTGATGTGGGTTGCCAAAACGCGGTGGTTAAAAAATTGACAGAAACTCATCGAAAGAAAGCCAGGTAGATGTATTTCTTTGTTATTAAACCATGTTTTGGTTATCAGAAATGTAGTTAATCACTAGTAATATATGTAAAATCGATTGAAAGTGAAATCTTACGGGCAAATGCCAAATCTCTCAGACAAATTTAATAAAAAATACTGAGAGACAACAATATTGGTAAACAGGTCTGCAAGAACCACTGGGCCAGGAAAGGTGAAACTTAGGTGAAAACTTCCTGGAGAAGTGTAGATTCTAAATTGTTTGATACCCTATTTTGATCCCATAGGATAGGATGGGGCCACAATAGGGAATCAAAGTTTTATATATATGAGAATAAATGGGAAAATTAAAAAAAGAATTCTCAAGAACAACTGGATTTGAAAAGTGAGAGCTTTCTGATATAATGTAGATTATTTTTTTAAGTCATTACTCTTAGGGGTAAGGTAGGGCCACAGTACGTGATCAAAGTTTTTCAAGGGAATACATGTATATTGTGTAACCAAGCAGCAAGGCAGATTGTGTTTTCACCATTTATTTATTATACAAAGAAAGAAGGCATTGACCTACATGTACAATAACAAAGTATCTAGTAAGTCAAAAATATAAAAATAATATTACAGATATGGGAAAAAAACAATTGAAATAATTTACTTACAGTAAACATTTTAGCAAAATAAATTCTAAAATGTGTAAACAATTCAAATTGAAATCTTACAGACTCATTATTATTTAAGTTATAACTGACTGCAAAATACAATGAAGTAGAATATTTGCAATTAAGATAACTACATTAATCAAATCTTTAAATGGCAATGAAACACATAAAATCCAGTATAAAAGTTACATACCTTAGGATGCATACAATTGACTCAGGATTTAATTTATGAAAACCGCTACTGCCATGACTTACATATGTAAAATTGGTCAATATATACTTATAATGAAAATCTATTATTGAAAAAAGAAGAAGAAATAACCAATCAAATCATAGAACCAATGAAATAAATATATAATTCAATTTATTGATTCACCAAACATGATGGCATAAACCATGTTACATACAAAATGAAAAGTACAATGTGTAACAGTTATCAGATTACTAAAACGCTTAGTACTATAAGAATATAAGTCAACTCAGCAAACTCAATCCAGATGTGCAAACAAACTTTTGATAAATCAAATTTTAAGATTTTATTTTTCAAAATGAGACGAGAAAAATATAAAATGAATGAATACATATAGAAATAGATTTCATAATATCACAATTGGAGTGGGTGATCAAAATTTTACAATGGATTATATAAAAACAAATGTGTAAAGGAAAGATGAAATTTATGTAAAAAATGTTTCAAATCTTTTTGATATAATATAGATTTCAAAATTGTTCAATGCATCCCCCCATATGGGTAGGGTGGGGCAACAGGGGATCAAAGTTTTATGCAAGACTATTTCAGAAAACAAATTAGAAATCTTCATTTGAGAACATTTTCAAGTTGTGGAGATTCAAATATTTTCCTTCAAATTATGCACCTTGGGATAGGGTTGGCTAAAACTGGGATTAAACTTGCATAATGCATGAATACAGGAAAACGAATTCTTCTCCATAACTGGAAGGCCATGTTAGTCATATTGAAGCATCTCCATGTTTTGTGCATTCAGAGATGCCTTATACTTATGTTTGAGCCATAATATGGGGTCAATTCTTCATTGGAACATATAAAGGAGAAAAATCTTTTTAAAAAAATCTGAAGAACAGCAGGGCTTAAGTTTCTCAGGTGAGCAGTGTGGCCAATGGGCCTCTTGTTAACATTCAGAATTGTTTCTTGCATTGTATATGAAACCCAATGAGAGTATTATAACTGTAGAACTATGATTTCCCTATTTCTTCCTATTTTGTAGGTAAACAGTCCAGGTCTCATGTAGTCTCCACAAGTCCATACACCACATTACCTGTAACCTCTTCATTGTTTCTACCTCCAATATCTGCATTGTCCCCCCTCATACTGCCTCCAACTGTCCATCACCTTGTCACCACAAAACCACCTCCCTCGGGTCTGATTGACCTATCAGAGGATAGGAAGGGGGATAGTAGACAATCGGGGGACAGTCAGCCCCCTGCGGTGCACAAACTGATGTATATCCCTAACAGAAAGCCTTGTACC